TTCAAACACTAAATGAAGAGCTGTGATCTGATCTATCACTGGATAACAAAAACTTCCTGTTGGATTTATTGAAAGGTGGTTCATTGATCTCCCAGGTCTCACCTTCTTGAAGAATTTTCCAAGGAAATTTTAATAGATGATTTTACAATGGAGCCTAACCCCCACATGAGGTGGCCTCTAGCAACTTGCCTGAGATGCATGACACCAGTGATTTTTACCATTTACAGAGCAAATGCCTGTCTCTTTACCAGAGCCAAGGCTGACACAGATTAGGTTGATGACATGGAAGTGGAAGCTAAAGCCACCTGCCACTGTGGACCTGAGAGTGATGGCTGGCCTGCAGGTCCTGGCCCCGGGGCTTATCTGAATAGTGGAGAAGATACATATGTGAAGATACTGCACTGGACCAGAGCTCTGTGAGCTACACAGCAACCAGCAGCTACTAGCTTTTAGAAAATGGCAGAGAGAACAGATTTCACTGTGTCTTTAAGAGGATTTCTAGTGAGAAGGGAACAGTTCTCTCTTATAAAGACTTGCTTATAACAATATTTTAAAGGAACTCAGCCCAGAGGGTCCAGGAAACACATTATGCTCTCCTGCAGCATACAAATTCATTATGGGAACACAAGTATAACCATGATCGATCCCCTGTCTTGCAGGCTCTGATTCCATTTCTTTCCTTTCTTCATTCTTTTCTTCCTTTCCTTCCTTTTATTCCTTTTCTTTCTTTCCTTCTATTTTTTCCCTTCCCTTCTTCTCCTTCTTCTTTTATATTACACTATGACATTAAAAAATTAAAGCAGCTCATCTCAAATATAAGGGAGATAGATAGATTTCATCGTTTAAAATCTTTACCCTCAGTGGGTTAAATGCCAAATTGCTAAGAACTTCTCAAGGTAACAAAAGATCATTGTTTTAAGGCAGGAAGGTAAGTTTTCCATCAGTGACAAAAAGATGAGAAATAAATGAAAGCCAAGTGAAAAAGCTGAATAGTCCTCACTTGGCAATTATGCAGCCCTTGGAAATTTCCAAGCTCTTTGCAATCATTCATTAATTAAGGAAGATGACATCCTGCTTTACGGAGGCTGGGAGCGTGACATAAAGAGGTCTGGAGGCTTTCCTCAAACTGAAAGAAGAATGTCAAGGGAGGAACTGGGATTAGAATTAGGAGCTCATTTCTCAAGCCAGTAGTCACATCCCTAAGCCAAGCAAAGTCAGTATTTGAGACAATAAGGTCTTCTGTGCACAGGTGTGGTTGAATACGGCAGTGTTCTGCTCAAAGACCAACTGTGAAAGAGCCCACCTCTTCACCCACCAGTGCCCCCAGCACACACACAGACTGTATCCGTAGCTTCATCAGCCTCTTCCCCCTTTCCCAAAACACAGACAGATGGCTAAATATCAACCTCTAACCATTCTCCTTAATAATCACAGCAAAAAAGTACGTGATTTGATTTTCATTTTTTAAATGTACAATATGATGTTAAAACACATGACACTGTTGAAAAACAAACATTTTCATAATTTTAGAAAATGACATGAAATCCACTGATACCCAAAATCTGTAATAATGTAATAGATCATCTTGAATAATTATCTTATTTCAGTAAGAAGGAAAATAAAGTTTTTGTTTTATGGAGCACGGTTAATAAAAGTTCATTCTGTCACCCCAAGTAGGTTGGTGAAGACAGACCAAATGCAAGTGATGTGTCTGCACCTAACATCTTAGCTCCAGGTCTTGGAGTGGGTGCTGGCTCTTCCCTACACCACTGGACTGGTTCCAGAGTGCCCAGTGACATGATGGGAAAACAGGAAAACTCAAAGACTGGCTCAGTATTTCTCACCAGATCACTCTCTCCACCTAGACATACTTTTGCTCTGTCTCATGTCTGTTTCCCCAGGTCGGGCAAGAGGATCCTTAAACAACTCAGGGCCCATCTCCTCCCCTTAGGAACATCATTCAGCCAATTTGTCAGTTGGGCTGTTTTGGACAGGGAAAAAATTCATACCATCTGAACTTAAATGCTGATGGCCATTGTCCCAACCTAAACTTTTAATCTTCTGTAAGGGAATTTGTTGCGGTTGTACCAAAATGAGGTAAAGTTGAATAACCTCATTTTTTTCTGAACTGGTTGCTCTGGGGCCAGGAGGGACTAATGCAAATATGCTGCAATGTTAACAAAGGGCAAGGCTGTCCAGTTGGGCTATTTGGGGCAATATTTATTTTAAAAACAAAACAAAACAAAAACCCCTTAATAACATCTCTTTTCGTAAAGAGATTGTGGAAAGAAAGCCCTTCCAAGAGTAATGTTTCGAAAACACTTAACATTTTAACTTGGAATCTTTGTGTTGGAAGATGATCATGGCTGGTCCACTTTCATGCAATGGACATTCATAAGGTTGATGGATGTCTCCAGCTACCCACAAGCCCCACTTATTGGAAAGGGTTCTTTTCCTCTAAGGAAACTAAAATCCATCTGCACCATTAACAGAGCAGATGTTTTCATGTGAGAAAAGTGATTTAGTGGACTCACTACCCAGAGAGTAAGGACCTCACTAACTTTTGTTATAATGTTGAAAATGAGATTGGAGATGCTTGGAAATTGACAATCTCTAATGTGCAAAGGATTAAAATAAAACAAACATATAGTCCAATCTTCTGCCCAATTCATCCCCCAAAGTTACCACTGAACTTCTAGCTAATCAAGGGCTTCAACTTCTGATTTCTTACAGCCCTAACAAAAGAAAGGGAAGGCTCAGTTCTAACACAATGGCTGAGAACTAGATTAGCTTCTCCATCTCGCTCCTTCCAAATAACTCTCCTTGGTTGCACTTTTCATGGTGGGAGGAAACATTATCATGTTGGTTCTTGTACTCACAAAAAATCCAAGTTGTAGGTGAATTGGTGTGTATAGTAATATATCTAACTTATTCACAGGAAGTAGCTGAATGTGTTGACTTAAAATACATACATGCTTGAAATTCTTAAAAAAATGAAAAGATTACTATAATAAATAATTTTTAAAGTTGCCTAGAGTGTTGGCAAGTAATTGGACAGTAATACTCTTCCTGGAGGATCATTAATGTAGATACACAAGGGGTAACAAACAAGTGTTATTATACTGCAGCCCCCTGCCAAAGAAAACTAGACAAAGTACCTGTATTACCTTAGATTCCTTTAGCCTCACCTGTCTCCTGGGCCCTTATCCACCTGTTCTTCCCCAGCAGTCACTGTGGTACCAACAATGCTTGGGTTCTGACTGCCTTCGCATGAGCCCAGCCTGACAGCAGTTCATCACATGCTGTCCTGCACCTCTCTCACCCCCAGATCGAGGGATTCCCTATGCCTGCTGAGGCATAAAATGCTGCAGATCTGTTTGGTGCGCAAGTAAATGCAACATGTAAGGGTGAGAAAGTCTCTGACCCACAAAGGAAGCTGTGACCAACAGGAAACAAGATTTAGAAGATAAATTATTTTCCTGTCTTCCCTTTGAAAAGACTGTCCTGAACTGCTATGGTTCATATGGTCTTTTGGAAGATGATTCCTCAAGATTGAACAATTAGTTGCACTCGATGCTAAACAGGAGCCTTATTGGTAACAAATCCCCATATCCTCAAACAGGATCCCCTATTTTTCCTGCTTCACTCGTGCACTTTCTTAGGATTGTGCTTTGTAATGAAATAAAACTAGTACAAATACTTTTGCCTTAGGCTCTGCTTTCTGGAGAAGGCAGCCCATGATAGGTACCCCTTTATTCCCATCACTATGTTAATGAGTCCCCTACCTTTGGCTGCAGTGGTGGTGCACAGGAGGCTGGAACAGGATCTGTGATATAAGTCTTCTTGGGACCAGGAACTGGATACATCCCAGCAGGGTTCTGGTTCCCTGCTCCAGAAGGAGTATACCCTTGTTCTCGCTTCCACGTATTTGGGTGACCTTGTTGACTATAGGCAGGATCAGAGTCATTTTTGCTCCCATAGCCAGGCCCCGCTGGGGAATAGCCTTCATAGTAGCGTCCTTGACTGGGGGCATACCCATACCCAGGCTCAGGCTGAAGTCCTGGTGGTGGGACATATGCATAATCCATGCCTCCCCGTGTAGAAGGAGGTGGACCCTGCCCAGGGATAGAAACTGGTTGCACATTATAGCCCTGGGCCCCTGGCCCTGGACCATAAAATTGTCCCGGTGAAGGGGCAGCCATGTAATGAGAGCTGGGCTGGGCTGACTTCACCTGCACATTGAAGGTAGGCCTTGAAGGGGTGGATGCCGTAGTGTAGGAGGCTGGGACTGGCTGAGGCTGGGGTTTTAGTGTTCCAATTGGAGCCACGGGGATGGGTCCAGCCTGAGGTGCAGGTTGTGGTTTTAATGTAGACTTTTTGGTTGCCGTTAGAGGGGGTTGGTTTGGTATGACCATTCTCTTATGTCCTGTGACTGGGGTGGAGACGGGAGGAGAAGCTGTTGTTGAACTAACAGAGCCCTAAAGTGGAAGAGAAAAAAAGGAGGAGACAAAGATTACTAATAATGAAAAGGAAAAATACATAAGTGAACAATTATTAATAACTGCTATTATTATTTTTGTATTAACATTGCAAAATACAAATAAGGCTTCGTTCCTGCCTTCTAAGAGTTCACAGACTAACACAAAGGACAGTTGCATTTCTGTATACTATCAATGAAAAGAAATTAAGGAAACAATTCCATTTACAATAACATAAAAAAAAAGAACACCTTAGAATGAACTTAACCAAAGAAGCAAAAGAGTCATACACTGAAAAGTACAAAATGTTGCTAATAAATTAAAAAAGACAAAAATAAATGGAAAGGCATCCCATGTTCATGGACTGGAAGACTTGATATTGTAAAGTGTTAATCCGACTCAGAGCAATCTATAGATTTAATGCAATCCCTGTCAAAACCCCAATGTCACTTTTCTGCAAAAAGAAAAAAATCCATATGGAATCTTAGAGACTCTGAATAGCCAAAACTATCTTGAAAAAGAAGATTGGAGGTCTCACTATGCAACTTCATAATTTATTACAGAGCTACAATAATCAAAACATGTTTGCATAAAGACAAACATAGACCAAAAGAATAGAATAGAAAGCCATAAATAAACCCTTGCTTGCATACATGGTCATTTGATTTTTGATCTGGATGCCAAGACCATTTGATGAGGAAAGAATTTTCACTTTTCACCAAATGGTGCTGGAAATACTGGACATTCACATGAAAAAGAATGAAATTGGATCATTACTTTATACCATATACAAAGTAACCCAAAATTTTAGCTTTAAATTTATAGAGCTACGAACTATAAAACTCTCAAAACTATATAATTCAAAAATACAGAGGAAAAACTTCATGACATTGGATTTGGCATTGACATTATATATATATAAAGTACCAGCACCAAAAGAAAATAGATAAATTGAACAATGTGATTTCAGTCAAACTAGCAAAAGAGTCAGTCACCATACTGCTAAAAGGAGGTACTAGAGATAGAGAGCTGAGGGACTGGGCAGAGGGAACAAAGAAAGCAAAGACGGGTGTTGAGAGAAACAAATACCCCTGGCACAACCAAAGAAATGCTAAATTTTAGATCAAAAATTCCTATCAAAGAGTGATTTACCAAAGATAAATGCAGCCGCTGCCTCCTTTATATCTTCCTGATTTCTGTCACATTCATTTGTTCAATTCAGAACTTACTGAATGCCCTAAAAATGTTCTAAGGGCACAAAGGCGAAAAGACATTTGCTGAACTTTGAGAAGTCTTGGTTAGGCTGGGGTTAACTAAAGGCTGAGGGAAGGCTTAGAGATTCAAACATTCTTTCTAAGGCATTAGTCTATTAGGGAATCTGTAAACATGATGGTGACACAGTGTTTTAATTTTGCTCTGAGTTACTATGATTAGATTTGTTGATATAAAAAGTGAATGACCCACACTCTAATTCTGTTGTTTATTAATTTCCAGGCAAATTTTACTACGTATAGGAAGAAGGGATGCAAGACTTTATATTACTCGTGTCATTTACTCACACCAAGCCCCTAGGGATATATACAAGTGGGGCAGGTGCTAATTCTTCCTCATACAAATTCCCCTTCTTTGTTACGCAAAGAATTTCAATTTGTCAGCAATGTGCCCATACTTCCCAAGATTACTTTATGAGATGTATGCTAAGAATTACTGGAAAAACTAGGGCTCTCCTGACATAACATCATCCCTTCCTACTCCTTCCCTGCCCTCTTTCCTGCATGGGATGTGGCTGTGAGGCTGGAGATGGTGCAGCTATCCTGCCCCCACCCCCTACACAAGTCTATTGATCTAGGCATATGGCTTTCTGAGGATAGCTTTCTATTGATGTAGGTTGATCCAGAGATAAAGATCAAATCATTCCCAGGGACATTTGGTTAACACAGAGTGGTTCTCAACTGGAGAGGAAACCATCTAGTGACCAGGGAGAGCTTGGAAATGAGTGGTGGTATATTTTATTGTCATAGGGGATGCTACTCTCATTAAATGGGTAGAGGGCAAAAACACATCATTGTCAAGCCCAAGATGATGACAGTTTCCCTGTTAAGAGACACCAATAAACTCTTGAGCTGCATGTCTTCTGGTAACCTGATTGTGAAATTCCCAGCTGTCAGCCAAGGAGGGTCACTGGTCCTCTCTAGGATCTCTCCTCTATGATACTCTCTCCTTCCTATTCAAACAACTGCTCTTTCTCTGGGTCCTCTTGAGCCAAGGGAGACAACAGCAGTGACTCTGCTAGTCCCAGATTACCACTTTGTGCCTTATGGCTTCTCTATAACCAAGTGGGACAATGTACACAATGCATTTATAAATCAGCTCCTGGAGAAGAGCTAGTTTCAGTGTGCTATCATTTTGGTTAGGATCCTGACTGTGACAGCTGTCTTTTCCACATATTTATCTCAATTGTCCTTTTCTAGTGATTTTGTAATTTTAGATATAGCTCTCTGTTAAGTTACAGAAGGCTGTTGAATAGAGTTATCTTCCCCACCCCGCTTTTGGTAGCCTCTCAAGGGAGGCAATCTTGCCATTTACTTTTGCAATTTAAGCAACCTGAGTATTCTTTTCCTGGTGGAGTAGCCTTTCTCTTCTATGTGAGGGTGGTCCCAACAGTACCCCATAGAAGGAGATGCAGTTTCCACATTAAGCAGTGTGTTAAAATATATATCCTGAAGAAGTTCCTACATAAATACTCAGTAAGACCCTGACATTCTGTATTAGATAACATGGAAGAGTTAGTTTGAACCTAGAAAAAAATGTAAGGTTAGATTTTTCTAGTTAGCCATGTCAGTCCTAAAAAATGTCAGCATAGATGGAATTGAATGTAAGAAGGAATAAAGCTTTGCTTTTCTTTGATGACTCAAGATCAGCAGAAACCCAGAGTTCCTATTTTGAACACTTTACAAACCCAACTATAAATGGAGACAGTGACTGAGCAACTGGACTCACGACAGACACACCGCGCAGCTGTACAGAAGTCTGCCCCCAGACACTTCAAAAGTCTCATACTCTAAAGATGAAAACCAATCACATTCATAAAGTAAACAAAAAATAATCAGTGTAGACCTAATTCCTTAGAAGTAACTTTTTTCAACAAACTTCTCTTTCACTTTTTCTCTGTTGGTGAACACACACACACACACACACACACACACACACTACTTAAACATCCCTAAAGTCTTTGAAGGGAGGCATCAGGGTGCAGTTTCAGGAGCCAGTGCTTTCGTCTAGGAAATATCTCACTACATGAGAAGGTTTCTCACAACTTCATTATGAATTCTGCTCTGTCTGTGCTGGCATGTTTCTGAGTATTTTCTGTTTCATAATAACGTGTGTGAAAATAGTATGTTTAGCTATGTCTTCCTCCCCTCTACCCACCTCAGCTCTGTGATTTGAAATTCTTTACCTCACTGGAGGTGGATGGGGTAAAGAGCAGGAATGATGTTAAGGCACATTTATTTATGTTCTTCATGGTAAAAGAAAGCTATGGCGACACTTCCTGGCCCGCACATTCAGCTAAATACACAGCAAATCTTTTCTACTTACGGATTAGTTGGCACTTCCAAATATTTATTTTTGGCATTTCATTTCTTTTTTTGTTTTTGCAAGAGCTCTTGAAGCTTTATCATGATTTAACATTTTCATTTTAAAAATCAAGCACATTTTAAAAATTATACTTACATGGATATACATATATATGTATATACATATTTTTTGTCCTGCGACTTGAATCTCTGTAGCAGTCTTTTTATGTTTGTATTTTTCCATTAATTATTTTCCAAGCATCTTCAGCATGTAAAGCTCAGCGAGGTTAGTAATGGGAGGACGGTGTCCTAGGATGAATAGTGTGTGTCTACCTGTCCCCCAGGAGTTTGTATTCTAGTCGAGGGGCTGATAACAATCAATAGCTGTTGAAGAGATGTCCCCATCACCAGGCAGAACTGTCTGTGGCCATGAGACAGGAACAGACAGGGAGCTGTGACAGCACCACTTCTCCTCAGTTGGGAGCAGGTCCTCAGCCTCCTTTTTGCCCAAGTCAGGATAACATCTTACATTCCTCTGTCTTACCTCTGATGCACCCATTCCCTGAACACAGCCCCATGCTCACATATACACACACACCCCCAGCCCAACCTACTACCATGCCCTGATTATTTCTCACATCTCTGTACTTTACCCCAGTCTCACCTTCTCCCTGGTTCTGGCCCTCATCATCACTTCCCTAGCTGTTTATTGCCATTATCTAACCTCACTCCTCTCCCATATCTCCTCCTCAACCCTGTCACAGTGATCTCTCTAACGCAAGTGTCTGATACGGCGCTCTGCTGATCCAGATTTGCCAATGACTCTGCCCTGTGCTGAACTCTTTTTATGATATTGCTCATTCTCTCTCTCTCTCTCATATGCTTTATAAGGACCTTCTAATCCAGGCCCTGCCTTTTGTCCAGCCACCTCCTTCTTTCCTCCATCACGCACAGCATACACTCCAGCAATGTCAGGCTTATGTAGAGACTGGAGTAGACCACACACGTGTGGACTCCTGTCAGTGAGGATTCATTCCATAGGATTCTCCACCATGTTTCTCCCCTGCCGCTCAGACATAGCCATCTTCTGCCTGGCAGTTGCCTCCCGATTCTTCAAGCCTCAGATCAAATGGTGCCTCTTCTGTTACGTCTTTCTGGAACTCTGGAAACATCCATTAAATTGTTATTATGTATTAACCCCTCAACCAGACTATAAACTCCTTGGGGAAAGTGAGACATCCTAGGACACTGTCCTCCTCCCATTAACCTCACTGAAGTTTACATGCTGAAGACGCTTAGCAAATAATTAATGGAGAAATAAAAAAAAATAAACATACATTACAATCCCCTGGAACGACTTTAAGTTTTTTTTTTTTAATGGTCCTTCAGTTACACTCCCAGTGAGCCCTGTACATGCCTCCATTA